TGGTTTTGGAAGTTCTCAAAACTGAATTTTCTCCACATCAACACCTTCGCGGCATTCCTCTCTCTCCACCTCGACGTCCCCCATTACCTCTTGTACGATTGGAGCCTATTACGAGTGGAGCCTATTAGAATTGTGACTCCTTATTACTCAGATTCTGAAAAATTAACTACTAATCATTTACCTGAAGAAGACGACGATATTTGGTTCGATTGAGACTTTTCAGTCGCCATCTATCAAAACCCAAAACCCTGTAACTCAATTTTCCCTACTCGAATTTCTGAGAAATCGAAGAAGACTCTCTTTGTCTCTTTGTTGTCAAACTCGTGAGCTGAAGGAAGAAGAAGAGATGATTATATTAGGGTTTTATTGTTTTTTAGTTTAAACAAAACACAAGAAACGACATCGTATGTCGTTTCTTTTAAGCTGAGAAAAAAAAATTAAAACATAAATCTGAGTTGTTATATATGTTTTAGTGACTAAGCAACACACTCAGCACCGTTAACGGGGAAATTAACACCGTAAGCTCTGAGGTATAAATATGCCTAATTTAATTAGTTTGGATACGAAAAAGTACATTATATATAGTCTGGGTAGAAATACGCACTCTTTGATAGAGTGGGTAAATATTTTCGCACTTCTCTAGAGTACGGGTACCAATAAGCCGAAAACTCCCCATTTTTGCTATAGCTGAACTAAATCAAACCATACTTTTGTTTATTCTGTTAGGGTTAAGGTTCCCTAGGGTTAAGGTTCCCCTCTCTTAGGGTTTTTTTTTTCCAAAGATTAATGTTTCTAATATTTTCTTTAGTATATTTCTAAAATAATATAACATTTAAATCTTGGTTACTATACTATTTTGTTGAATGAATTATTCCATAAAACTAAATTGTATTTGAAATCAGTTTAAAATAATGATACGTGATCATATGATATAAATGTTTGTACAAAGTAATATGATAAGGGGAAGTGCACATCATATGCCAAAATTAACCGAACGCTACATATACGACCCATATTTTGCTATAACTGAGCTGAATCAAATTAATTTTTTGATTAATTTTTTATTGATTAGCCTCGCATGTTAATTTTATGACTTTTAATTTCTTATAAATATAATTGGTATATGTATAAATTAAAAATAAATGTTATTTGTTTTAATTCGGTATAAATGTTAAAATTAGATATTTAATAATTTAAATTAAAATATATATATATTTAACTCCTAAAACTTAATTTGAAAAAACTATTATTAAAAAGTATTATTTTAATTGAATTTGAGAAAATTGAATCCGTGAAATCATACTGTTATTCGATTATGTATTAGGTAGTCGGTAGCATGTGTCCATATGAAATTTGTTAGAGAATAAGTTGATTTAAGTATTTAATAACATAATTTTATCATTTGTATCATTTTTACTTGTTAGTTTAAAATGTATAAGCATGTAAAAATAATATGCATATTTTATAAATTTTTCAGTGCATGTAGTGGAAATTATGGA